AAAAAATGGAAAAATGGAACAAGACACGGACAAAATTTACACAAAAAAAGTTTAACTGTCAAACGTGAACAAAAGTACAAACAAATGCAAAATAATACAACAGAGAGACTGTATTTTTCCAGTAAGATTGCTAAGATTAAAAACACAGGCATATGGGACTTCTGGGAAGATGGCAGAATAGGAAGATTCTAAACTTACCTCCTCCCACGGACATACGTAGGTAACAGCCACAGCAGAGCAACTAACCCAGAAAACAAACCCAAAGACTGGCAGAACAGACATCCCACAGTTAATCGCAGAGGGGAGGCCACACTGAAAAGGGTAGGAGGGGCAGAGACACAGTTGAGAACCAAACTAACTACCAATTGGAGGGACACCATGAGCATGGAGAAGGGAGAAGAGCAGAACCCAGCCACACCAGGCACCCCAGACAGGGGTGACCTGCACTGAAGAGATGAGTCCCCGTATCATTTGGCTTTAAAAACTGGTGGGGCTTAGCTTTGTGAGTTTTTACAGTCAGCAGGGCTTCCCTCCAGGTACCTTAATAATCAGCGAGCTTAGCTCTGGGAGAGCTGGAGGGCAAAAGGAAACGGAGTGTCCACTCTTAAAGAGCCAGCATAACAAACAACCCTACATAGAAACAGCAAAGCAGCAGCAATTTGAAAAGCTCTTGGGGTATACCTGGAAGATTTATTTACTAATCTTCGAACCTGTGCTGGAGGGGCAGAGATCTTCAGGAGACATCTCCAAAAACAAAAGAGCTGTCAGGAGCCATTTCTCCCCACACCCCCAAGTCTAGATAGCCAGACACTTCTGGGAAGAGCATGAACACCAGCCCCCACCACCACCTACCTTACCTACCACCACTAAGCTCCCATGTTCTCCTGCGGATCTGGCCCTTCCAATGCCCAAGTGGCAGGAGTCCCTCCAAAGCAGCTCCTGCCACGATACACCCCATAAGCCACCACTACAGAGTGACTCCTGCCCTGGAGATAGGAGAGGATAACCACACACACCCGCTCAACTACAGCCCCAGCAAATGGACTCAGGGCAGACATCTGATCTGCCAGCCCCACCCACCAACCACCTCTCAGCCCCAGGAAACAGGCTAAGAGCAGGGATCTGGTCTGACTGCTGACAACACCCAACTACAATCCCATGGCAACTCCAGACTGGCCCTTTAAACAGCTAAATGAAATGGAGAAAAGCAATATGCCTGATAAAGAATTCAAAGTAATGGGGACACCTGCGTGGCTCAGTTGGTTAAGTGTCTGACTCCTGATCTCAGCTCAGGTCTTGCTCTCAGGGTCGTGAGTTGAGGCCCTGCGTTGGGGTCCACGCTAGGCATGGAGCCTACTTAAAAAAAAAAAAAAAAGAATTCAAAGTAATGGTAATAAAGATACTTGATGGACTTGAAGAGTGGAGGACCTCAGTGAGACCATCATCAAAGAGATAAAAAAGAACCAATTACAGATGAAAGACTCAACAACTGAAATTAAAAATACACTAGAAGGAATCAGTAGCAGATTAGAGGAGACAGAAGAACGGATCGGTGAGCTGGGAGCCAGAGTAATGGAAAGTTCCCAAGATGAACACCAAAAAGAAAAAAGAATAATAAATAATGAGAATAGGTTAAGGGAACTCAGCAACACCATCAAGCATAATAACATTTGCATCATAGGGATCCCAGAAGGAGAAGAGAGAAAAAAGGGTGCAAAAAATTTATTTGAAGACATAATAGCTGAAAACATCCTCCATCTGGGGAGGGAAACAGAAATCCAGATCCAGGAGGCACAGAGAGACCGCAACAAAATCAACCTAAGGAGGTCCACACCAAAACACAGAATTAAAATGGCAAAAAGTAGTGATAGAGAATTTTAAAAGCAGCAGTTATATACAAAGGAAACCCCAAAAGGCTAGAAGCTGATTTTTCAGAAATTCTGCAGGCCACAAGAGCATGGCGACATACATTCAAAGTGCCGAAAGGAGAAAAAAAAAATCTGCAACCAAGCATACTCTACCCAGCAAAGCTATCATTCAGAATAGGAGAAGTAAAGAGTTTCCCAGACAAAAGTTAAAGGAGTTCATTACCACTAAACCAGCCCTACAAGAAATGTTAATGGGAGTTCTTTGAATTTTAAGAAAAGGCCATAATCAGGAATAAGAAAGTTAGGATAGGAAAAAATTTCACAGTTATATACAAACATAATAAAAGTAGATTAATCATTTATAAAACCAGCATGGAGATTAAAGTACAAAAGCAGTAAAATCAATTATATCTGTAAAAATCAGTCAGGAGATTCACAAAATAAAAGGATGTAAAGTATGACATCATAATACATAAAACGAATGGGGGGAGATGAGTAAAAATTTAGTGCTTTTAGAATGGGTTCAAATTTAAGCAACCATCAACTTAACATACACAGATGTATGCATAAGATGTTAATATAAGCCTAAATATAACAAATCAAAACCACTGATACACCAAAAATAAGGAGAAAGAAATCTAAGTACATCACTAAAGAAAGCCAGCAAACTGTGATCATAGAGAGCAAGAAAGGAACAGAGAACAAACATACAACATGTAACAAAATGGCAATAAGTACACACCTATCAATTACTTTCAATGTAAATGGACTAAATGCTCCACTCAAAAAACATACGGTGACTGAATGGACAAAAAATAAGACCCATCTATGGGGCACCTGAGTGGCTCAGCTGGTTAAGTGTCTGACTCTTGGTTTTGGCCCAGGTCATGATTTCATGCATTATGGGATCGGGCCCCTCACCAGGCTCCTTGCTCAACAGGGAGTCTGCTTGAAGATGCTCTCATTCTGCCCTTCCCTCCATTCATATGTGGCTCTCTCTTGCTCTCTAAATAAATAAATCTTAAAAAAAAAAAAAGCAAGACCCATCTATATGCTGCCTAAAGGAGAATCATTTCAGACCTAAATATACATGTAGACTGAAAGTGAAGGGATGAAAAAACATTTATCTGGCAAATGGTGGAGCATGCAACTGTTGATCTCTGGGTTGTGAGTTCAAGCTGCACGCTGGGTGTAGAGATTACTTAAAAATAAAATCTTAAAAAAAAAAAAAGATAGAACAATGTAAATACTTATGCACCCAACACAATAGCACCAAATATATAAAACAGCTAATAATAAACACAAAGGAAGTAATTGATGGTAATGTAATAATAGTAAGGGAGTATAACACTCCGCTTACATCAATGGACAGATCATCCAGACAGAAAATCAAGAAGGAAATAGTGGCTTTGAAGGACATGCTGGACCAGATGGGGCTAACAGATATATTCAGAAGGTTCCATCTTAAAACAGCAGAATACACATTCTTTTCAAGTGCACATTAAACATTCTCCAAAACAGATCACATGTTAGGCCAACAAGTCT